TCAAAACCTTTATCCCCACTTACCTCAACCGAATCTAATACAGTTCTTGGTGGAGCTGAAATGGAATTTGACTTTGTGTATTATAGCCCCTATCGAGTTCTAAGCGAAGAAGATGATGATGCTCCAACCACTAAACGTCTCTTGAAGGATCTCAATGCCAAACTTGATCAATTGATTGCTTCTTCTGCTACTCCCTCCACTTCAGCATATTCTGATGCTGCCATAAAGGCTATACTTGAAACTTTGATCAAACAACATGATAAATCCATTGATAAAGCAACTCAAGCTGTGGATGCCTCCAATCTCTCTTGCAACAATGCTATTGGTGAGGTTAAATCTCTCATTTCCGAGTTTAAGATTTTCATGGAATCTTTTCAAATCACTGCAGATGGCAATACCAACAAAGCGAATGAAGCCAATGCCTCTCTTTCTACATCTTTTAAGGTTGAGCGAGAAAAATTTGAGGTGATTCGCCAAAGTCTACAGGCTGACAGTACTAATCTTCTTTCTTCTGTTACCACAGGTCTCACCAAATTCAAAACCGATCTTGCCATGGATAAGAAGGTCAGAGAAGATCTCGCTCTTTCACAAACTCAAGTTTCCACTCTTTCCTTGGAGCTTTCTCAAGCGAATAAGGAAATTGATTCACCCAGGGCCGAACGCACAATCCTCAAACGTTACGTGAACAATGTGCACTCTCTTCTTTCGAATCTTTTAGAGGCACATGATTCGGTTCTCACTATAACTGCTCGCCGACATCTGGCTGAGAAATTGAGACCAGCTCTGGATATCCTTATCCAGATTGAGGGTGTTTTGGAGTCTGGTGTCCCTCCAAAACAAGGGGGAGATGAGGTTGTCCAACAGAGAGTCACCACTGTACCGAAGGATAATGAAGCTTTGGGCAGTATTCAGGTCAAAGGAAAGGAGAAGGTGAATAATGATGATGAGGTGGTAATTGTAACCTCCAAAACTACTGATCCCAAGGTCAAACTCAGTGAGTGAGAGCTTGCTGAAAAGCTTTCCAAGACGAATGACGAAATTGAAAAGGAAAAGAAGATAAAAGAAGCGAACGATGTCTTGGAACGAAGGAAATCTTTGTTTCCTCTGTGGGTAATGGAAAGACTTCTGAAAGAGGCGATTGACTCTCCAAGCACACACTGGCTTGAACCAGTCCTCTCCTTCGGTCTTGAAAATTACAAGGATGCTCAGTTCGATATGCCCATCTCTCGAAAAGCCTTCGTATTTCATTGTTTTGATTCAACTGTTCCTGTCCCCTCTCCTCATCCAAAGGTTGATCAAGACCTGCTCGAATTTTATCTTTCTTTCTCTCAACCGCAATACCTCACTTGGAGTAATCAGAAGATCACAACTGTGAAGGTATTGAAACCGACTTTGGCAGGGAAGTTTATAAATATCAAATTCAAGGTGACACGAGGCTCAAGCGGCTCGGTTCATGAGATCTCTCTTGCTGATCTTCCAAACTTAAATCCCCATGATTGGATTCTTTTGAACAACATTCTGCTGACCAATCAACAAGAATATGGGCCAATTATTGATCATATCAAGCGGATGTTGGTCTTCTATATTTTTGAAGTGGCGAAAATGGATTAGGAGGTCGCTTCTGCAATCATAAAGAATCCCATTGTAAAGCCAATCGGGAAGGCAAGTGATATGTCTGTGATGATTAAAGGCAAAATTGATCCAAAATCTTACATCGTTTTGTTTACAAGGGGCGAAGGTCAAAGATGTTTGTTCGCTCTGGCTGATAAGCATTTGTTCTCCACCACATGCTTAGAGCACATTCTTGAAATTATACATCGGTGTGACCAGAACAGTGAGGCATATAAGAAGTTGTTTACGGACATGCTTCGGTGGTATCTTCACCTTCGTCAAACTCTGCTTGCCATTATACCGAAGCTATTCAAGACCATGAGGTCATCTGCTCCTGCTCAACCGAAGTATTCTCTCGCCTCAATTGGCGCAAAGGGGGAGATTTTTGGGTTTAAAGGGTTGCGTCATTGGGCCTTAGTAGTTCGGTCCATTATGTACTCTCAGTTTGGGCCTGTCCAATCGTGTTTATCTTTCTAGGGTTTAGTATATAAGTTGCATGCATGCATCCATGTCATTAACTCTTTTGATTATTATCATATTAATTGTATTGTAAACCCTAGCACACAACTACAGAGGAAGTTCTTAATCGAGCTCTTCTGAGGTGTGACTATATTTTAATCATTCGACATACGGTTGATTAATTGTGTGTTCTAGTATTTGTTATTCTCATTGATTTACTTATTAAAGATCTAATCGATTTAAAGAGTATTCAACTCATCAACTCTACATAGTAATTCATTTATATTTATTTTATACAATCTGATTTAAACCTTTGTACTAATACAGGGTTTGATAGAGGCTGTTAAAGAGTTGTTGCCATATGTAGAGCACAGGCAGTGTGCTAGACATATTTGCCAGAATTTGCAGAAGAGATTCACTGGTGCCATATATCATACCTTGTTTTGGAGAGAGCATCTAAAGCCACAACTGAGCATGCTTTTAAAGTTGTGATGAAGGAAATTGAGACATTAAACCCAGATGCCCATCAATATCTCATGGAGAAAGATCCTAAAACATGGTCAAGAGATTTCTTTCAAGCTGGAAGGTGTTGTGATGCAGTTGAAAATGGCTTCTCAGAAAGTTTTAATGTTGTAATAGTAGATTCCAGGAAGAAGCTCATAATAACCATGTTAGAGGAGTTAAGATTATACATGATGGACAGAATCTACAACATGAAATTAAAGGGACAAAAATGGGGAAATCATATTTGTCCAGAGATAAGGGATAAGGTGAATTTGCTTAAAAAAGTTTAAAGGCATTATCAGGTACTACCAAGCGGATTAAACCAGTTTGAGGTAAGGGGAGAAACGGATGCATATGAGGTGGAATTAGAAAGGAAAACATGTTCATGTAGGTTGTGGCAATTGAATGGATATGGATGTGCTCATTCTGTAGCTAGCATATCCTTTCTTAATAGGGATGTAGAAGCCTATGTTGACAACATGTTCAGCACAACCACATTTAGGAAGGCACACAATTATAGAATTCCCCCCATGAATAGCAGTGACATGTGGCCAAAGACAAATTATACTCCACCATTTCCTCCTATTAGTAGAAGGATGCCTGGTAGGCCAGCTACTAAGAGGAAGAAATCCACTACAGAGAATACAGGAACACACAGGGTTTCTAAGGCTGGAAAGAAAATCAGATGTAGTATTTGCAAGGAGATAGGTCACAACAAGGCCACTCGTCCATAGAGAAGGCCCCAAAAGTAAAATGTGAAGAAACAGAAGAAACAAAAAGTTTGTGTGAAGCAAAATGCAGGATAGGTAAAACCATTTAAAATTTAAATTTATTTACATATGATTTGTCACTAACATAATTATATCATGCCATATAGGGTAGTACAAGTGAACCACAACAACATGTAGAGGTTGAAATGACTCCAATTGAGATGGATACTACTCAAAATGATATGCAAGTTACTCCTACTGATGTTGAATCCAGTAGTACAGGGGATTTTAGTCAGTCTATGCAATTTAATCCACCTAGAAGTTATGAAGGTGATGAGGGTGTTGTGGGTGAGGAAACTAAGGAGAGTGAGGAAGCTACTCATGATGATGAGGTCAATCCTAATGCCCAAGTTGATAATGTTCAAATTCAGGAGGTTGTTCATGTTATCCAGGTTCAGCAGGTAAGGGTTAGGCCAATTTCAGATATTTTGAAGAGGATAAGGAGAAGAAAGTCAGAGAGAATAGTGAAGCTGAAATTAGGCAAAACAATTGGTGGTGTTGATGATCCAGGAAATTCTAAGGGAAAAGCTCTTGTAATTGATTAGTGTTGGTTGTAATTTGGATTTAAAGTTTATGTATTAGGATGATGGTAATTTGTTTTAAAGTTTATGTATAAGGATGATGGTAATTTGGATTTAAAGTTTATGTATTAGGATGATGGTAATTTGAATTTTGTATGGACGGTGCCTTTCAATTCCACTCATGACACAAAAGGGTATTTTCGTCATTTATGTATGGATGGTGCCTTTTTAAGTTCACTCTTGACATAAAATGGTATTTTGGTCATTCATGTATGGATGACAGATATTTTGGTCATGAGAGAAAAGGGTATTTTGGTCAGTAATGGATATTTTGGTCACTCTTGACATAAAAGGGTATTTTGGTCATTTATGTATGGATGACAGAAAAGGGTATTTTGGTCAGGAGAGAAAATGGATATTTTGGTCACTCTTGACATAAAAGGGTATTTTTGTCATTTATGTATGGATAACAGAAAAGGGTATTTTGGTCATGACATAAAAGGGTATTTTGGTCAGTAATGGATATATGTTGCCTTTTTACTGAAACTGTTCACATGATATTTTACTCACTTATGAAAGTATGTTGCTTTTTTAAGTAAATCATGACATTTGGCTTTGAATATTTATGCATGGAAAAATTTGGAATAATGTGCATGCATGTGAATGTTTTATATGGACCCGGATATGGTTCTATAATGGGTTCAAAGGTCCCATTTTTCCATTATTAAAACACCCACTGATTAGTAACTACAAATGGTCCCCATACACATAGTGTACTTCCACATGGACCACTTTCTCTTTTGTTCCCAAAATGAAAACATGCACAACAACCAATCTAATTAAATATATTTGTTGGGAATACAAGCCATTCATATGTTTCATTAACATCAACATCTGATTATACAAAATGCCCTATAATTGGGACTTTGAATATTTTTTTACATTAGTTATCATATGCCCTTTCATTAGGGACTTACCACCTTACAACATCAACACATCAAGGTTGATAGCCCCAACTTGTAACTAAAAGCAGCTCCAATACATACAAAATGCCCATCATTACTGACTTTCTAGTCCGCCTTTACAAAAAATACAAGGGATCCCAAAAAACAATAGCTTACACGAACCAACCTAACTAAGTACAATCACCCTCTAACTTCAAAACACAAATGACCAAGCAAGCAAACAACAAGGCAACTATCATCATGTACCTGCCTATTGCCTTCCTTGCATCATAAACTTCTTTCTCACTCTTTGCCACCGTATATTGCTCCTGTGACAGCAAAAACTCCACTTCAGCAATCCTTCTCCTCAAATTGTTCATCTCAGACAGATCCTCTTTAGCATCCAGTTTCTGCTTCAGAAAATATAGCAGGTTTTTGTAGTACCCTTCTGCCTGTTCTTCATCTTTCCATTCAAAGAAGCTACATTTCTTCAACCTAGTCTATAAAAAGCCAATAAAATTAGCGTTTGATTCACAATCACAAATCAGCTACCTTTAATGTACAAACGAAATGGGTTTGATTCACAGTCCACCATCGTCAAGAAGCAAATAAAATTAGGGTTTTTTTAAGCAAACAAAATACAAATCTACCATGATCGTCTTTACAGCAAGAAACAACACAGGAAACCCTAAAATACTAAGTTATCAAAATCAGGAGTATCGGGACCTACCATACTGTTTTGACAATTCTAGAAACGCCTCCCAGGGTTTGTTATCTTCCAACACGTTCGTTCTTTAGCTGGAACGCCACAATCACAAAGCTTTACCCCTTCTCGCGACTGAATATGAGTGACTTGTAGCTGATTCCTTGAGGTCGATGAGCTCGAAGACATTGTTCTTCAGGACGGAAATAGTCGGGGGGGGGGGGGGGGGGGAGGGGGGAAGTCTTTGAATTTTTCAGAGAAGGGTAAGTAACACTTTAATGAAGGTCTGAATGAGGGTTTCAATTAATAAGCCTATATCGACAAGTGGACTTCTTCGACACATAAGCATCCCACGTAAGCTTATTGGACACATTAGTGTGCCACATAAGCATTGTAACCGGTAAACCTTCTAATTTTTTAGATAATGGTGTAATTAATAGGTCAATTACGAGTTTACTGGTCTAATGTACCAAAAAAAACTTGAAGGACCAAATTAGCCAAATGAAGAAAGTTTCATGTGCTACAGTGACATTATCCCCATTTTTAAAGCATGATGAGCTCGTTGATTGTTAAAGCGTGCTTAGATCAGGGTGGGCGTGGCATGGCCCACCTCTAGTTCACACTCACATACGTAAACGTTGGTAAAACAAAGAGAATATAAGGTTGTTTATGTTGTGTGAAGAGTGAAGCGAAAGAACAACATTTAAATGTCCAAAAAATTAAAAAGCATTAAAGTTTAACGCAAACTTTGATGAATTTAGCAATGGGTTAGCAATACACTTTACGGTATTTTTTTAACATTTAAGCATTGTTGATTTTCTGCTACCTTTACACAATGTAAATATTAAAGTATCCATTCGTTTTACTAATCTAATAGTTTAATATCCCATAATCTAATAAATAAAACCATTTTAGCCGCGTGGCATCTCTTCAATTCATAAATTTTCAAAGTAAATTACCTATTATGCCTTTACAAAATATCCCCAAAATTCTTATCTTTATTTCCCGAAATCACGTCTCCTTCGATTTCGCTTCTTCATTTTGGAAAGTAGATATCGATTCAAAATTTGAAATTCTCAAACCTATGATGGAAACATCGATTCCCATTTACCTTTTACCTGTAATTGATTGCAAAACCGGTAGGCAACTCCACCGTTGTTCTCTCTTAAGCCGATCAATGGCTTCAAGAGTTCTAACAGGAAATTGATGCTTGGCAGGTTCGTAATATCATATTTCAGCAACGCCTTCAAATAATTTTCTTTTTCATTTTTTTTGTCAACTACAATGATTTTACATCCCAATTTCATTCTATTTGGTATAAAGATATGATTTTTGATTCTTGATTCAGAAATTGATGCATGTGTGGTCGGTGATTACTATGATTGGCAGATGATATGAAGATCGATGCTTATGATAAAGATGAACATACTGGTTATTTGAGATATGTTCTGGACAATTTAAAAATATCTCCGAAGTCAAAATTGAAATAATTGTTTGTAAATTTACAGGCAGAGTACAAGTTTTTATAGTTTGGAGCTCATATAGTGAAACATCAGCATGTTTTGAAAAGTTAAACAACTTAGCTACTGTAATAGTTTTTAACATCTCTCTCCTGAAAATATTGTAATGTCAACTTAAAGTCTCCATGAAATAAGCAAACCTTTAAGGAAAAAGATGAAAAAAACCTTAGATTTTAGATTTCACTCTTCTATGTGTCACTATATGTTTGTTTGACTGATTGTTTGAGACTTTTGATTATGTGTATGTGATCTTGTTTATGCATTCTGTGTGTTATTATGTGTTTGTTCGACTCACCAATTTTTGATAAAAAAAAGTCTTTGATGAAGTTCTAGTGTAAATAGATTTATCGAGAGGGCAAATATACATTTTTCATACCAAAAGACAATTTCCATTTAAAGCAACTCAGCAGGTAGGAAGCGGACCCAAGGGTAAAATGGTCAGATAATGAAAAAATGAAGCAGCGACAAACCCAATATGTCTAAAACAGGTGTATAAACGCAACAACTTTAAATAACTTCTATTAAATTCCAGACTCACTTTATTTTCTTCATTTTCTTCATTTTGATACGAGTGGAGTCTAAGTGTGTATGGACAACGGTCTAATAAAGGGGAAGAGACAAAGTTTAATATGGGTTTATAATTTTGTATACAAAGTAAAACATTTTTTACAAAATTTAGCATGTGTTTGTATACTAAACTAATGTAAAATGTACATGTGATATTCGCCTATTCTATACAAATTAATAGTTAAACCAAATCCTTCAACAATTTTTTAGAATGTTTATACAGTCAAATAATTTATGGATCATGCATTAGAATATCACCACACAACAACTTACAAACCTAAACCTAATCACATATTAATCATTTTAGTTCATCAATTTCATATTTTACTCACCGACACAAGTTGATTGACATATGCCATAGTTTATGTTTTCATAATGAAAGCATATATAACAGTAATTTGTAATTAATTGTCTTGTGTTTAGGTAAGTTTATTATTTTTAATAAAATTTTATAAATCTTTTACCAATGGTTTCCACAGGTTGTAACCTAGTATGTAAATATATGTGTTTTGTTTTGAAAACCATCAAAACTCGATTTTTATATTAATTTATATATGTAAGTTTAACGTAAAATAATTTTCATTGTACATAAATATATATAAAGTTCATTTTATAATAAATAATAATTTGTCAAAATAATAAAATTCATCACTTATAAAATATAATGTCAACGAATTTTGAACCAATATAACATCTTAATTTGAAATATTGTCAAATATAATATTTTACAATCTATATCTAAGATTAAACAATTGATAACTAACATCGTAAAATATATTTGGTTATTATTAATCGAAAATACATGTGTACAATGGTGGTTGATTTTCCGCTACCGCTTTTCTCCCACTAGTGCCATAGTGCTTCATGTTTTAATTTTTAAGTCGAAATTTTTTAGAATAATGGAGCAAGTGTATAAGGATATGTGAACTGGACATGTTTGAGTTGTAACACCTAGTGTCAGGATAACGGGTTGTAATATGATCGAGTAAAGGTCTTAGGCTTCAAGGAAATAGAGTTTAGACTCTATCAGATATTGATAATATTAGTCAAGTGGTTAATGCCCTCGAATTGTGCTTTGAAGCAAAAAAGCAAAAATGGGAAAAGTGATATTTCGGGCTTATTCCATGAATTAATGATTTTAGTTCGGTACGTTTCAAGTCAAAAATTGTGACAACTATCAAATTCAGGTCATTCTCGGACTCATTCAACTTTTTATAAACCATATATGCACATCATGCCAAGACCTAGTAGTAGAAATTAGGTCAAAATCTTGTATAATCTAGGATCCAACTAAAATCTAGGACTAATATACTTGACTCTTACGATTCTAGTAAGTTGTCTAGCTACTATAGGAAATGCCAATACCCGAATTAGAACGAACTCCAAACATTTCTTATGATTGAAAAAGGGTATAAAACCCTAAAAATAAATTAAAACCTTATAATTTCATTTCAATATGATGGTGAATATCAAACAATGTTCCAAAAACCCTAAAGAGCCCAAAAATCCAAATTTATAAACTTTAAAACCTAAAAACTCTATAAGATTTGTTATGAACCTCATTATATCAAATTTTAATAATCAAGTTATGGGATATAATCAAAGCATAAAAATTTAATTATCAAACATTAATCATAATTTATTAGTTAAAAACAAAGATTTTAAATAAATCAAGAATTAAATAAAGAAGCCTTTTTATAAAAATTGGGGTTTTATAAAAATTTAAGGGGAAATTATATAAACTTGAATTAGGAGAGAGAGGACCTCTCTTATACTCATAAAAATCCGTCACTCTCTCTCCCATGCTCTCTCTTCCCAAAATTTTCAATCATTAAGCCCATTCTTACACTTCACATCCCTCTTTACACTCTCTCTCTCACACTCCACCCATTTACCACACTCAAACTCTCTCATTCTATCTCCAAAACCATGAAATTCTCCAGCCAAGAACACCTCTCAACCTTCAAATCTTCATCTTTTAGGGTTGTTCTTCAAGGTATTCACGAAAATCCTTCATTTTCGTTCACTTTCCTTCTTGTTTTAAAGGTTTTTCTTGCACTTCTCATTCTTCTACACCATTCTTTATGAACATATCCATGAAATTTCGAGTTTGATGATGATAGTGGTAGGGTTTCACCCAAAAACAACATGCATGTTGTTTAATGGTAAATCCAAGGACCAAAACCTATGTCAAACCCTAAAATACGAATGTTTACAAGTTTTAAAGTTTCATTTACCTTATGCATTCAAGTTTTTCTTTTGAAAACATCACTATGAAAAAAATATGTCCATGCATGGTCTACAAACCATGATGCATGTGATGCACATCAAGTTAAAGAGTTTGATGATCAAAGTACATTGTTAATAGTGCATGTAAATGATTTTATTCATAAAAAAATCTAGATAACCTTTTATGTTCGAAATAAAATTTTTTCAGATTCCCAGTAAGATGATATGAGGATCTGCAAAATTCCAAGAGTTTTTATCATTTCTTTAATTTAATAAAATTATTACAAGAAAACAAGGCCATGAGACTGGAGGGAGTGGTGCCACCGAAACCGCACTCCCTCCTATGCCACGTATACGCCGACTCAGATTTTTTCTTATTTCATCAACTAGAAACCGCAATGGGGGAGTGGGAAAAAGGTTAGGAGAGAGAAAAAAAAAGAAAGAAGATGATTGGTTGAGAGAAGAGAGAGAGAGAGAGAGAGAGAGAGAGAGGGAGAGAGAGAGAGAGCAAGTAAAAGAGAAGAAAGAGAAAAGGGAGTGCGGCCATGGACTACCGCAGTGTGGCCTCCACCGCACCCAAACCGTAGTGGAGGGGCGGTGTTCATGCTGAGGTGGAAGTAGACTGCGGTAGAGACCGCAGCCACTCCCCCAAGCCTAAATCATTTAAAATACTTTATGTGGTCTATAAATCTTAGGTAAATTCGTGGATGACCCCTAAAGTAAATGATGACATCTCAGTGAGTTTCATCGATTTTGGTTACTGTTTGCTATGGTTTTGAATTTTCTTTTTGTTTAATCCAAGTAAATCATAAAACCACTTTAGGGAATGTGAAAAGGATATCTAAGATTTTTCGCAGATCCTAATGTATGTGG